TTATGTTACAAAAATACAGAACCGCAGGTGCGTTGTCACTGTGAGGACTGAGATGATATGTCTCTTGCCTGTAATTGCGCTGGCTACCTTATACTTCAAACCGGAACACAACAACGTAATTTTATTTAGGTTGCTTGGCGGAAGAAATAGATAAGAGGTTGGTACCCATCCAGTCGGACTCCTCAGGCTTGACAGAGTCCTACTACCGGTATACCGGTTTGTGTTTCAGAAATTATACAATTATGACAGAAGCATGGACGCTGATACAATCTTTATATTGGCAAACTAATATTATTGCCGCGACTACCTACATCATACTAATATTATAAAGAGGTATAGTTTGTAACTTTGTAAGTTTGTTTGTAGGAAATAAACTCTGAAACTACTAAACAGATTTAGATAAAATTTGGTAAGAAGATAGTTTGAGACCCTGGGAAGGACATAGGATACTTTTTATCCTAGAAATCATCCCTTAAAGGTATAAAAATGGGGATGAAAGTTTGTATGCGGAATCAACCTAGGGACGAACCTAAGCGAAGCGAGGATGAGTCGCTTGTTTAAAAATATATCTCCAACTAAAAGTCTAAGCAACCTATAAATAGAACTCAAAGCTTGTAAACATTGTCACATTGTCCTTCTCATATATATATATATATATATATATATATATATATATATATATATATATATATATATATATATATGAGTTGAATATCATGTTATGATAAAAAATCGTTTTCTCACGATCGATCCTTAAATCTGTTAATTTTGTTAGTGTTCATTAGAGCTCACTCGTCAATTTTACACCTGTTTAGTTACCTCAATAATTTACGGCATATACGATGAGATTTTTAGCCTTTTCTGTCTTATGGGTTAGAGAGTGAGAGAGAAAGAGATGGCTCTTTCCAACTTGCTTTCTTCAATGAAGTCGTTAATCAATACTCTGATCAAGAGTTCTGTGTAAACGAAACCGTTTTGAATTAAAATAAATTGACTTGTTTGTGGAATAGTTATTTATATATGCTGTATCCAAAGTACTAATACTTGATTTACAAAAGAGCAACTGGCTTTTCTCAGCAGAACTGAACAGATTTATTTCCTCGCGATGTTTTCCTTCCTGTGTTGGGAATGATTCGCACATGAATATATCAAGAGGTACGAGGCCCGGGATTCGAACCCGCTTAACTCGGAGCGTGTTAACTTACACTGAGCTACCACTGCTTTGTTTTGAAGCGAGTTATCGCATTACTATTTATTATATAAATATGAACGTTTGTATGTATGTGTGTTTGTTACTCCTTTACGTTTAATGGCAGGACAGATTTAGATAAAACTTCGTCCTGAATTAAACTATCAAGTGACCCGTAATAAATAAATATGTTGGGTCATTCATACACAACACCATCTACTTCCACGATAAGCTACGAGGTTTGTGTTATGGATACCAGATAGTTGATACACAACACATATCTAATACCTTTAAAGAGCAATTCTTGTATATTAATTTTTTTTATACCGGCGATTTTTTTTTGTATTTATTCAAGTTTTTAGTAAAAAAAATAAAGAAAATTGTACTTTCGGCCAAAAACTCCAAGCGGAGCTCGGCAAAATAAGGCACTATAACTTTAAATACACACATGTTATAAATATAAACACCTATGACTGGAGTACAAACATTCGTGCTCATCACACAAATGAATGCCTCCAGCGGGACTCGAACCCGCGCCGCTGGCACAGCAAGTAGGGTCAGTACAAACTGAGTCAAACTTACTAACTAAAGATCTTTAGAAAATACAGACATCTTCGCTAACAAGTTAATTGTCCATCAATTAGTTTGAGTTAGTACAGTACAGTCATAAACAAAGTTTTTTTTCCACATATTATAATGATAAATTAAAAATTAAAAAAAAACCGACCATCTTGGACAGATTTTCATCAAACTTAGCTAAGAACACTCCCGACTAAATTACCTTTCAAACAAAAAAAAAACAAAATCAAAATCGGTTCATATCCGTTCGGGAGTTACGATGCCAAAGAAAGACACACACACAGACATGTAACCCAACAGTAATATGCTTGCTTGGAAAGCCAAGAAAAGTGGGCCCGAAAGACCCAGAACACCACTGATATTTTCACAAGAAAATTATTTATTAATTATTACAAAACCATTATCACTTGCTTATATCAATCAATCATTAAGGTGGACATTTGGATTTATACAATCAATTAGTGCTGCTTATTGTTTAGTAATGTTTTTAATTCAAATATAATATTATAATATCTATGAAAATATGTCCAAAGTAGTGACTCACCCTCGTTTGAGTTAGTACCTAGTGAAAAACAAAAACAAATCTATGCCATGGGAACCTAAAGGAACGGGAAAAAAAGTAACCTATGTGCTATTCCCTACTAAAATCTATCTCTGTGCTAAATTTCATTCAGATCTGTTTAGCAGCCATTCTAGTGTGATTGAGAAACAAACATCCATCCATTCAACTTTTGCATTTATAATATTAATGGGATGGAACAAACTAATGACAATTTAGCTTGAATTTATTATCATTTGATTACTTTTTTGACCATTTCTGACTTTATCTAAATAACCAAATATAATTTTCAATAAATATTCTAGAACATTATTAGCAAAAAAAATATTTTTTGCACTTGCCTGTACTAGTACACATTATTGTGACTATTTAAAATTCACTTTTATGTTACAAATAATAAAGCTCAAATTTAAATTTTCATGGACGAAACTGGTGATCAGTTTAAACAAGATATTTTTAGAAGGATCACGAGTTATACACCAATATATACTCTACGGTCTAAGAATAGAGACAAAAATCGTTTGCAATCACTGTGAGAAGTAGTTGTTATCTGGCAATGCAAACTTTTTGTGTAAATCTTTAGGGTATGGCTGAATGATGTACAACACAAAAAACTATTTTTTGTGGATTTCACCATTTTTTTAGTTATTATTATATACATAAACTAAAACAAACAATACAAACTAAACTTATCTAACAAAATAACATATCATTTACTGTTAGCATGATAATTCCTAAATGTTTGCCACTCCTTTCTGGTTTGTTTTCATAATTTACTTTCATATATTTTACTTCAGACAAGAGCATGCTATCTTAACTCATCAACTCATCACTGAGGGTAGCTCCAGACAGACATAGTGGGATGAGTTAGACTTTTCCAGATAGGCTGGGCTATTTTGGCGAAAAATAGGGAGCAGTAGAAGAGTAGAGGCCTTTGCCCTGCAGTGGGACACCACATGCTTATAATAATAATAACTTGGATCTCTTAAGGGGCCTATATGTGTAGGGCCTGCGTCCCCACAAGCCTTTCACAGGATCAGATGTGTCCGTGAAAGTCAAAGATATACAAATTGTAATAATAAACATTTTACTTAAGAAATAAAGGCGAGTCAAATCTTCTTTGTATATTGTAGATGTTCAGTGAGCGTCTAGAACATTTCATAAACATTTAAAGTCTGAATAATAATTCTAGTTGTCAAACAACCTTCACATTGTGATGTCAACATTTATATTAATCCTTCTCAATTCACAGTAGAGTATATTTTTACATAGCAAATGACTCATATATTTTGCATGGCTCACAGATTTGTGCAAATTCAATTTTCATAATTAAAGAAAACCAAAATATTGATAAGATAATGTATACTTAATTATTTTTATATGGAAACTAGCAACAAACCCTCGCTTCTCTCAGGTTTGTCCCTAGGTTGATTCCCCATACAAGATTTCATCCCCATTTTCACCCCCTTAAGGGCTGATTTCTGGGATAAAAACTATCCTATATCCTTCTTAAGGTCTCAAACTATCTTCTTAGCTTTGCTTTCATCTAAATCGGTCCAGTAGTTTCGGAGCCTATTTAGTACAAACAAATAAACAAAACATCAAATCTTTCCTCTTTATAATATTAGTATAGAATATAGGTAATAAATTAAATTAGTGTGGCTTTATTTATTTTGAAATTATGAGTTAATTCACATTATTATTAACAGATAAATGTTTTTGTATGTTTATTGGATGTAATCTCTGAAACTACAATACTAATTTAAATTCTTTTACTGATAGAATACTATAAAAGTACCAAACATATAGTGATACATATCACTTATAATTTTCGAGATTTGTTATCAATATACTAAAACTGATATGTCATAGTAAACAATAAAATGTTATGTTATGAGTAATTCCATACTCACTAGTATACTTTATACTGATCTTTTTATGTTAGCAATTGATTGATACATTGTATTCTAGTTTTTGCCTGCCTTGGCATATGGCTTCAGTGATATGGCATATTGATCAATAAAAAGTAATTAATGTATTAATCTAGCATATAAAATTTCTCCATTCTGAATTTCATTTAAATCATTTACTGTTGTTACTGTGTAAAGTAGTAAAAACTACTTACTCCACTCTCAAACTTTCACATTTGCAAAATTAGGAAATGAACAATTTTAATAATTTTTAGCTATTATTACCTTAAACTACAAAGAAATAAAAATGATCAAGTTTGTAATAACATCTATCCCACATTTGAAATGTCTATATAACCAGTTTTTCAGTAGCATTTTTTATAAGTGATATATCAAATAAGTCATGGAGAATTTTTATTAAGATCTTTGAAATATATTCGATTTGTATGATTCTTTAATCCCTATACTTTTAAGAATGGTAAGTATTCAATTATTTAAAATATTGTCATCTGTAACACCCTAAGATTCAGATACATTATCAAATCGAATTTCTGAAAGCCATAGAAGTTCTGGAATGTTTTTAAATGAACTCTGAAATATTTTGCTAATTTTACATTACTTTACACGAATGTTATAAAGAAGTAGGAAATGTGAACATAGCACGGAAACAATTAACAACTTAATGTATAATAAAAAAAATGTAGGAGCAAGTTTGACGAAATTGTACCTAATTTAAATATTTACATGACGTAATGTAACATACCTAGGATGATCTTTCGGCGAGTTGCGTGCGGCTCCTCTGTATGAACCCATTCAAAATCGGTTCTGGACACTTTAGCCCCCATTTTTAACACTGAATTTTTGTCACATTTACGAAACAATTCACCACAACGCACTCGGCAGTGTTCACTCTAAATATGATATTGCTTAAAAAATATATATACGCCCTTTTTGAGCGAGGTAAAAACACGGCCACCCGATTCGAATTTATAAAAATGATTAAATTATTTTCGTCAACTCAACAATCACACCGGCATTGTACGTCACCGTTTGACAAATGACAATTGACAGCTAGTCTTAGAGATGCCTGTTGGCATTTACTTCGTAAATTAATGTTAATTGGACCGCATCGATTTTTTTTTATTATTCTTTAAGCTAAAGCTTTTATTGCGTTGATTCTATTTGGTTTTTTATTACTATTTGTTTACCAAGCAGAAGGTTGGTGGTTAGTTATAATTTTAGTATTATTCTGTCTTCCCACTTCACCTGTAGAGTTTAGACTACTCATTCAATTTCAATATACGAGTATCTATATCTATCTCACCTTTTTCTAGATCTACTAAAATCATTAAAATCAGACTCATGAAAAATTGTACCACAGAAATTTTACTAATATCTTTTCAGTTTTTCAGTTGATAAAATTTAAAAGACGTGGATCCTACGTCATTTTGCTTAAATCTGTTAATCTGTAGTAGCATGAAGAAGAATTAATAAAAACTTGATACTTTGTTTGTTGATAATTCTTTTGTCTTTCATTGAGGTAAATCATATAATATAAATTTTATCCAATAGTTTTCATGTGTTATAGTTCCTTATAAATAGTTTATAAAGTCCATCATATATTGCGTAACACACAGATAAAAACATTTAACACACTTTCCCGATTTTTAGTCCTATCCAAATTCTAATGTACACTTTTTAGTAAAGAACTAGCATTGCCTGCGGCTCCGCCCGCGTTTAATGACCAAAAACCAAATTCTTAGGTTGTACATATTAGTATACTCTTACAATGCAGTTTTTGTATTTTTTCTCAGAAATGAGATATTTTCCCGTGGTAAAAAGTATTCTATATGTTGACCCGGATAACCAGCTATGGTCATACCAAATTTCATCAAAATCCGTCGAGTGGTTTTTTCGTGATGCGGTAACAGACAGACACACAAAAATTCTAAAAACTATAGATTCGGCCTCTCTGTATCGATAATAATGTCTATTTCAATTAGATTTTCCAAAAAATATTTAATGTACAGATTCGACTTAGTTACAATTTTATTATATGTATAGATAAAATTCAGCGTACTCTTTATATCTGCTTCACTTTTCATTATACATACATTTCGAATAATTTTTGGAATTTGATTTTATACTTTTTAGTAACTATAACGATTCACAGCCGATGCGTACCTAATATTATAAATGTGATTTGCAATACGATATATTGGTTTATTTCAAACCTAAAGTAACTCAACGGTCATTTTTCAGACTAAAATTAAGGTTATTAAAATTTCTTACAGAAAATACATTTTTACAGAAATAAAAAAAAAATATTGGCACTCGGTCGCAATAAAGATGAAAGTATTTTCGGAATCTGATCAGTAATTTTAGACTACAAACGTAGAAACAGCGAAAGGTTTACACGATAAGTTTACAATTTATATTCGCAGTAGGTACCTACATGTCAAAGCAAGTACACAGCCTGTTTTATGAACACTTACTCCTCCACCTCAAGGTTGCCTGGTAGACATAGTTTCCAGCGATAAGGCCACCGCTCTGCATCTATTTTGTTTAGAATCGTTGTGATTTGAAACTCGATGAAAACACGAGAAAGAGATAACCACATATATTGGATTAAACCGGCGAGAGAATGAGATAGAATACATTACACAGAAAGTGAAAAACAATACCTACTGAATGTTATGTTATATATGTTAAATAACTTTTAAATTTGGTAAAAGAAACAAAACCTTACAATTATTTTAAATATTATACATAGTTTTATTTTTATATATACATATAATAAAATTGTAACTAAGTCGAATCTGTACCTACATTAAATATTTTTTGGAAAATCTAATTGAAATAGACATTATTATCGATATAGAATCCGAATCTATAGTTTTTAGAATTTTTGTCTGTTACCGCATCACGAGAAAACCACGAGACAGATTTTGATGAAATTTGGTATGATGATAGCAGGTTATCAGTCAACATATAAGATACTTTAACCGCGGGAAAATATCTCATTTGTGAGAAAAAATAAAAAAAACTGCATTGTAAGTATATAGTAATATGTAAAACCTAAGAATTTGATTTTTGGTCATCTGAACGCTGGCGGAGCCGCGGGCAATGCTAGTTATTTATAAAAATGAATATTTCTTACTATGGGGATGAATGTGTATAAACATGTGGGTAATGGGTTTTAATTTTTTTGAGCGGAACCCGAGTTCTTTTTCATTAATAATTAAATTATATTACTAATACTAGCTGTACCAGCTGCTTCGCCCGCGTCCAAACTTCCGATCGCTAACAAAATTCACAGGATCACCCGCTGGGCTAATCTGAAGATTTCCTGAAAATTTCATCAAAATAGCTCCAGCTCTTGTGGAGTCCGTAGGAAACATATACACGTCGATTTTTATTTTATTTAATCAACAATTTAAATTTATTTATTGCTCCTAAAATGGAGTCTTTTATAAAAAAAATGTGTCACACCGACTGCAGCGCCACGTACCGGAGCCATTTGTGAATTCAAACCTTGCAGGGACCCACTCGAACATACACCAAAAAATATCGTTTAAATCATTCCTGCAGTTTAGATGATCAGTGGCACACCGACTACAGCGCCACCTACTGGGTCCATTTGTGTTTTCAAACTATCCAGCAACCCATTGCAATAAACACACAAAATTTTATCAAAATCGGTCCAGTCCTTTAGGAGTAGGTTAACAAACACACGTACAGAAGAATTCTATATATATTTAGATAATCTGTACATATTATAAAATTGTAACTAAGCCGAATCTGTACATTAAATATTTTATGATAAATCTTGAAATACACATTATCGATAGAGGCCGTATCTATAGTTTTTAGAATTTTTGTGTCAGTCTATTAACCGCATCACAGAAAAACCACTGGAGGGATTTCGAAGAAACTTGGTATGGTGATAGCTGGTTATCCGGATCAACATATAGGATACTTTTTACCGCGGGAAAATGTCTCATTTCTGAGAAAAAATACAAAAACTGCAATTTAAGAGTATACCAACACGTAAGAATATGCTTTTTCGTCATCTGAACGCGGGCAATGCTAGTTATAAACTAAAATCTTTTTCATAATAATTATTATGACTGATAATGTTTTCTCTACATCTTATTTTACTAATAAATTTCGATAACTAATTTTAAAAATGTACAATTGCCATACAATTAGCATTTGGAACGTATCTCTTTGATTTATCATCAGTTATCTGCTAGTGAAAATCCCGACAAAATCAGTCCAGCAATGCAGATTAACCGGAACAGGCTGACGAAAAAAATTATATATTTTTTTAAGTCGTATAAACTTTCACATGCATTTAGTAAAAAGCTGTTATTTAAAAATTACAAACTGACACTTCAATTTTATTTATCTGTATAGATTGCTAATATTCACATAAAATCTAAGAAAGTATTTTCTCATATCTGCTAAACCCTAACCTTATAAGTAACAAGGCAAACAAAAACACAAGACACTCAATTTTATATGATATATTTAAACGCTCTCTTGCACTGGCGGTTCATAGCCTTCGGGGCGTTCTGACTTGTCACCGACCTCTCCTCGCTTGCCACCACCACCTTCACCGTGAAGTTCCATCAATTTGGCGATTTCGAAACGTGGTCTCTTCAGTACTTTCACCTGGAAACGACCTAGGGTTTAGTGGATGTGATAGTTGTAACTTATTATAAGCATGAAATAGTGGGTTCAGAGGTAAATCAAAAGGGAACATGAGTTTTCATCATGTAATGTATCATTGCGAGCTAGGTGTGTCATCATAGTGATATGTAGTATTGCTATTTGTTTTTTTTTTAAAACATTACACAGGACAACAAAATTGTCTTTTTTTGTTGCATGATTTTTTTTTACTAGTTTTTGAAATATAGGTACGGTCTTAAATTAAAATAAATAGCCGACAATTTTCTATCAATAGCAGTCAACTAAACTAGTTTCTATATAATATTCATTGACTTTCTCAAGTACAATTTAAAAATAGCCATTTTTTTTGTGTTATTTGTGCCGAATATATGTTCCAAAATTTCATTTTAAGGGGTCCAACTTGGTGAAAAAAGAAAACTTGGACCACTGCTGATAAACGCCAAGCTCTGGATACTTAAAAAAAAACATACCTTCCTGATGCAAACATCCCTCAAGGGATAGATACTGTGGCAGGACTTCTCAATATCCTTAGCGATGGAGTCCGGAATAAGCTTGTTGACGACTTCACGGAGTTCAGAGTTGGCAACATCGCGGGTGATGATCTCGCACATTTTCTTTCTGATGGCGCGGACCTGAAAGTATACACCACACGTCAGTAAGAAACGAGCGAGAAATAGAAGCAAAAACAATGCGAAGTGAGAACCACGCAAAGTAATTACAACGCGCGCCATTAAAAGTAAAAGTCCATCCATACTGATATTATAAATGTAAAAGTGTGTTTGTTTGTCCTTCTTTCACGTCGAAACGGAGTAACGAATTGACGTGATCGTGATACGTGAGAATTTTGTATGTGTAATTAAAAAAAAACTATATATGTATATATAAATGTAGCAACACAGTAAAAGCCTGATATAAAAGTATGTATAAAAAGGCGTTGCGTGGTAGCTTTCGATATTTGCAGTTTGAAACGATATGAAGGAGATGGATCATCCTTCATATATTGAGTACGACTGCATGAAATATTGTCAACAGTAAATAAATCATTTGTAAGAATTAAATGCAACTCTGCTATTAAAATAGATTCTAGAATAAATAAGGTAGTGGTAGTGTAGTGGTAATGTGCTTCGCTTGGAAATCTAAATGAAGCAGGTTCAAATCCCGGATCTTGCACCTCTTGATATTATCATGTGCATATCATTTCCACATGACGACCACTTGTCTTATGGTGAAGGAAAACATTCTGCATGTCTGAGAGAACCTAACAAGTATTTGAAAGACGTGAAGTCCGCTCGCAATTAGCCAGAGTGGGGGACTGTTGCCTGATCCCATTCCCAGGCCCAGCCCTACCCCAGCAGTGGGACATTAAAAAGGAGTTAACTGTAATAAGCCAATCGATATATTTAAAAAATATTTTAATAAGTGATTTTCTAACTTATCAAAATATTTAAGTTAAAAATACTTGAAATCATATACTGTAATGTGCAATTTAATAACAAGATTTCCAAAAGTTGATAAAACACAAATCGTCCATACAGTTTATCAAAATATTTGAATCGGCTGCTCTTGACGCGAATTATACACAGAGACATATATTTGGTAGAGGTACTCAACAGAGTGCAAGGTATCCCCCAATTGTTAATCTGTTGTGCTAGAGCAAATTTCAATGTTCTTTCAACCCCTCTTGGGCTCCCCTACTATAAGATCAAACACAGACAGCCAAAAAGCGACATGATGAAGTTAACTGCATTCCTTTTACAAATAGAGAGTTGTGATATATGTGACGAAATCTTTAGAACAAAAATAGTTCTGTTATGCCAAAGAAGTATAACTTCTTACGTGCATACATAAATATAACACACACATTTTTTTGTAGTTTCTATGATTAAAATAAAATATCAACTCTTGAGAAAGATTCGAGTAATACCTGAGTATGTTGAGCATAACAGGTCTTGCGTTGACTCAGCGAATCCTTGTTGGTGAAACCAATGCAGAAGACTCGGAGAAGGTATCCATCTGTGGTCTTCACATCAATGTTGGCTTCGACAAGGGTCTGCCATTTCTTGACCATCCATCTGTTTGAGGAAATTTTAATTATATTTATTTATTGTTGTAAATGTTTAAAACTTAATCATTAAAAAAACCATTGGACACTATTAAGTATGTGTGTACATATTTTATTGAGTTTATTTCTACCTAATGTTGAAACAACTGAACAGATTTGGATGCAATTTACTATATAGATAGTCTGTAACCTGGAGACACTTATAAACAATTGATTGGTAACTAACTACACTCCTGAGCACAGCAAGGTACATATGTGTTAGTAGTTAAATATAGTAATTGATGTTTTCCTTTCATAATTAAGTTACAATTTATATGAAGAGTTAAAAAATCTCATGAAAGACATGTAGCAACGACAAGAAGGGCCTATACAAATATATGTAAAGGCACTAAATCCTGTGGTAGCATTGTTTTATGCAGCTTGAAACGATATAACAGCGATTATCAAAGTTATATAGCTGGGCTGCAAATATTATTTTAGAAAATAGAAATCTTATGCCCAATTTCGCCAACAACCCATAAGCTACCACATATGTATGGGATTTCTAGCTTAAAAGTCCCCTACACTAGCCCCTAAATTAAATTTCGTTTTAAGATTGCCTTTGAGCCCACATTTCGAGCATCTAAATTTAGGGGGCCTTTTAATATTTAAGTGACCCCTAACAGTCAGTAAAACAAAAACTGCCCCCTAACCATGCTTAGGGGATCCCTTAAACTTAGGTGACGTTGGTGAAATCTGGCATTAATCTTTCACAACTATAAAAAATTAGGTGACAATTGGCCTGTTAAAGGCAATATTTTGGATATAATAATAACTTTTAAACTCAAAAATGTATATGTATGTATATCATTTTGAAAATGTGTTTAAAATTGGTGAACAAAAATATCCCCTTATTAATAGTTGGTCAATAAAATTTAGAATAAAATATTTTAAATCTTTATCATAACATACCTGAGCTTGTCAGTGGTGAGATCCATACCGTGGAAGTTGCAGAGCACATTGCGACCTTGCACATCCTCGGCAATCAAACGGAATTTGCGGAATGACCTATTTGAATAAAAAAAAAATGTAATTTTGCCTATTTATTATTTAAAATTAAAAATCAAACAAGGCAAATCATTCTATATTTTATCTCTAGCAACTCACCCTCCGTTGCTCGGGTTCATCCCTAGTGATTCTTTAAATTGACATAACTTTTTTATTTATGAACCGATTGAAATAAAACAAATACAATGTCATGTGAAGCTTATAGCACACAAACGGACAGACAAAAATTCTAAAAATCATTGTTTTGGGTTCTATTGTGTTAATAAAGACCTCCAATAATAGTATTTCTCAAATATCTTCCATGTACAGACAGCCATGAGTTACAATTTTATTATATGTATAGATTATTGTTATATTTTCTATGTTTATAATTTTCTTAGGTTATGAAAGAAAGCTACTAACTCACCTCTCCGCATCAGTGTCAGCCTGAAGATCAGCCAGGGAAACTTCAAAGACACGTCCCTTCAAGCCTTCCGAAGCAATTTTGGTTCCCTAAAACATTACAAAGCTTTAGTAGTATTTGTTTATAAAAGATAAGTAGTTATCATAATAGATTTGATACATTCAGAAGTAAAATCAAAAGGGAACAAATGTTTTCATCAGTTCTGTGTCATTGCGAGCTAGGTGGATCATCATTTAGTATCATTTACCTAAAACCGGCCATTCCTAAGAATGTAGTATCTATATATTCCTTATTATAAAAGATTAGTTTTAGTCATAGAATTTGTAAAAGGCCGTGTGCTATGTGAATTAAACGATATTTGGCATTTTGTTACCGATATTTGATTATAGTAATAAAAATTAGTCAGTTTTTATAGTATTATAATTTCTAAGTTTATAAGACAGGTACAGAATATGAACACCGATTGTTTTATCTTCTTACGTTAGTAATGGCTATCGAAGGACAATTTATTGCCTGAATCGGTTTATAGGAATCGATTAAGAACAATACTAACAGCATTTAACCTTTTACAATTCTGTAGACCTCATGAGGTTGTTATAACCTAACTTAGTAAAATACCAACCTGGGTACGGTTGACAAGGGTGGTTCCCACTTGTCTTTTGGTGAACATTGACGGTGCCTTAACATCGTACCAGTCCTTCCTTGTGAAGGGATCTACACTGAAAATGAAAGTTTGGTTAAAAACGTAACCTTTTAATTACAACTTACCGTAAGCATTTTATAAAACCGTACAGAACTAATCACACAGAATATCTAAAATTATAAAAGGCTAGTGACAAAACTTCAAAATTGATGTTTTGTTAGAAAATCATAAACTTGAGATTTCGTCTGACACGAGACACGCAACTTTTATCCACAATTATTTCTGCCATCACTGATTTTATAATATTTATAAAACGTTTAGAGGTAAATATAAAGGTTTAAGAATTTGTTGGTAAGTATATTCCGAACTTACATCTTCTTTTTAACTCCTTTCTTGCCGCCTTTCGATAGGCCTTTATTTTTACCGACCGCCATGTTCAAACTCAAACTTGAGAAAGGCAAAGTTTTGTTTATGGACAGAGCAGCAACTGTCAAGTGTCAATTGGACAAATTGTTGTTTATGGTTGGGTAGGATGTTATAGATTAAAAATCACTCTTCATAGAAGAAAACTAGCAAATCACTTAAATGAATTCTGAATCAAGAAAAATGACGAAATACTTGTAAAAATGAAATATGAATTATCCTTTAATCATCTACATTAGAAAATGGTTATAAAAACATTATTTCTGTAGCCTTTATTAAATAGGAAATATGCGTGTAATTTAAATAAAGGAGAAATTACATTTTAATAATCTTTATTGCTTCTGAATGGAGATGATTTCTTGAAAGAAGGACGCTACACGTATGATCTATTTACATTCAGTTTTAGATTAAAGGGATAAAAGGGAGTAATAAAGTTTATATGAGCAAATAATTATTTATGATCAGAATTACTTGAAACTTGATAAAAATGTTCTTCAAAGCAATTAAATAAATACGTGTTTTAGCATTTTTCGAAATTCAATCCCAAAGGGGGTAAAATGGGAGATGAAAATTTGTATGAAACTCTGTAATAATTAATGCACCGAAAGTGGTATTTACCTTTAAAGTAAAAAATAAAACAATTCAAATATTTTATATTTATTAATTTTTGTATTCTTGTTGTATTATTTTTTCTATTAATTCTTGTGGGAAAAGAGATCCTTTTTAAGATTTCTATTTCGCAGTCTTTTCTTCCCTAGCACCTACACAAGGTGGTAAACACTTGCACCAAGGGATAACAGACGGCGCCGCATCCTCCTTTAACTTTCGACGATCTAAATTAAAACCTGCAATTCAAACAATTATGGTAGTTTATATATTTTGTATCTGTAAAAGTTCCAATATTAGTAAAAAACTACACAAAATAAAAAAAAAAACACCTGTTGATCTTACAGTTTTAAAATTACTTTCCGTAAAATGATGTTTACATAGACTTAAATATTTTATTATTTTGATTTTTGTTGGTTTTTGTAAGCAGTGATTAGTTAACTAATTAAGATATTTAGCGAAATTGACCCTTCACGTCAAGAGAGACATGTCTCTTTTAATCACTAGATGGCGTGGTTTCAATCTTACCACTATACTAGATCTTACCACGGAGTCACATGACGAGCAAAGAAAAATTAGTTCAAATGAATGTCAATAGATGACGTTACATGTATGGATTTGTTATAATAAGTGGTGTTAAATTAAGAAAAGATAAAAAAATAGATTCCAAAAACGTGTATTATTGCTTTAAAAAATATTCTAAGTGAAAGGAAACGAAATAATACGCTTGAAAATGAAATTGGCGTAATTTTACTGTTTATTGAAATATCAGCAATCAGATGATGTGTTTGTAGTGTATCACGGTTGAAAATCACTGATTTTTTTATTCGAATGCAGGATAATTTTTACAATATTTACCATACGTTAGTTTGCACATATTTATAAAATAAAACAGTTTAACTATTTGCGACTCAACGACATCTATAATCTATACAAGCAAGCACAAAAATAGCCTGAAGAATAGCCCGAATTAGCGCTGTTCAATTCTTTGTATGGGATGAGACATCTGTAGTAGTATGCATAGTATTATGTGATCTGTGATAATAATAATATAATACTAATATTATAAATGTGAAAGTTAAGTGAAAATATCTTTGGTTATTTGTTACTCATTCACGCCAGAAAGGCTGAACGGATCTGGATGAAATTTGGCACAGAGATAGATTATAGTCTGCAATAACACATAGACTACATATTTTTATCTCGGAAAATGTACGACTTCCGTGAAAAACAAAAACAAATCTGGATAGATTTGTTTTTGTTTTTCACTGTTTTTCCATATAAATCCGTTGTAACATTAACGCAATCGAGTTAAAAAAAATTATGTTAAAAGCTCGCACTAGGCGACACTGATTCACTCCACTTTTAAGCGAAATCCGTGCCCGGCAGTGGGATTAAAGATGGCTGAATTGAATATTAAGGAAAGGCATTAAAAACCCGACATGTTTTATAATGTCAATATATTTGTAAAAATAAAGTCAACATTGCAAGTTTTATAAAATTCTTAATTAGATTTTTCTTTGCATTTTTTTTAATTACAAAATTACAAATATTGAGCAACATTAATATAAATTACGTACTATTTTCTCTCTTTATGTATATTTTGCATCACAATTGAAAAATATAGGTGTCCTTCGTAGTATTTTTACATAGTTTTTGGTGGTCATTGATCAAAATCCGATCTTGTTAGCGTTCAGCGTTTACCTTACAAGTTACAGAAGCAACTTACAGTGGATTCCAATCATCTAAGTATCTATGTTTTTTACAGATAGAAATTTGACATTTAATCAGTAGAAAATATTATTAGATAGATAGGTTATTGGGATACGATAAGAGCGGTTTGTGCTCCATACAAATTATGTCAAATATCGCTTCGCTCTCATAATATCGCACTTTTATTCATAAACTGAATTAACTCAAAATTACAATTTTGTGGGGAATCCGCATTTCAAATTTGGCATGTTTAGATCGATGACTTGAAAAAATCATAACAAAATAAACAGACGGTTTTGATCAATTACAAAAATAGATTTAGTAAGTTATTAGAATAAGGTTGAAAATTATCATATTTTGATGATGAATACACCACCATGGATTCACCATAGAGAAGTTTTTAAAGAAAAGTTCCTACTTATTTCACTTTTTACTAAAATATTATCTTATCGCTAGTATGAAATATTAAAGATGGATAGGTTATTAGCATATGGGCTTAATTTATGTTAATTCGTGCATAATTTTCAACTAATTTCAATTCTATGTCATGGATAGTTATGTTGGTATAATTGATACCACCTGGATCTATAAATATATTGATCAAAATTCAAAGTAGGAACAATCTGAATTAGTACTAAGTTAACTAAATGCAAGCCAATAGCAATTTTTTTAAATTAAGCGTCTTAGACAAGATGTTACTCTACAATTGTTGTAGAATCCGTATTATAAATGTGAAGTTTGTGAGTATGTATGGATGTTTGTTACTCTTTCACGCCAGAACGGCTGAACGGATCTGGATGAAATTTGACACAGAAATTATAGTGTGGAATAACATTTAGGCTACTTTTTATCCCCGAAAAATTTTGCGGTTCCCGTGGGATAGATTTGTTTTTGTTTTAGAGGTGAATCCGAGTGAAGCGAGGGTGAGCCGCTAGTATCCCATAAATAGAGAGTGGACCAATTGTTTTTTGCCAGCAGTCAGCTAAAAAATGACGGAAAGGCGCGACAGAGACAAAACGAATGTGCGGCCAGAAATCTTCTGGATTCATTGAAATACAATTAATGAAGATAGATATTTATAACCATATTATATTCCATTATAATATATTTTTAACATTTAATTTATAAATTCAAATTGGAATAAAAGATAGGAAATGGCCGCGCGTTCGCTTTCTCTCTTTCTAGACAGTGGTCAATTTCATGAGAGTATTGCCTAGTCCATTCTGTACGTCTATGTAGAATATAAACTTTATAAATCGTATTGAAATGACAAAATATGTAATCATTATGTTTTAACATTATTATACGTCATTCCCATATATTTTTTCCATTTCTATCCTACAAAAAATATTTTAGAAGGACATCTTGTCTAAGCGCTTAGGTCTATAGCGCATATCTTATTAATGGCAACATTTATTTGTATTGTTCTTAAAAAAATTAACATATATCTAATATATTAATTTAGATGGAATGTTAAAAAAGAGTGATCTATCCCTTTGACCATAGTATATTTTGTGTGGTAGCTCTGTGGTAATGCGTTTGGGAAACCAAGTGAAACGGTTCAAATCTCGGGTATAGTGCCTCTGATATTTTCATGTGCGAATTATCTCTAACATGATTACCACTTGTCTTACGGTGAAGGAAAACATCGTGAGGAGACCTACATATCTGAGGGAACCTAGTAAGTTGTCGAAAGACATGCTCATTTCGCCTGCATTTGGCCAGCGTGGTGGACTATGGCCTGATCCCCCTCGCATTGAAGGGAGGCCCGTACCCAGCAGTGGGACGTTAAAAAGGGCTGAATACATGAACACATATATTTTATGTATTAGTAACAGGATATCATAATTGTGAACTGATTTTCATATTTACGTTTTGAATAAATTATATTATACCGTAAGAGTGGTATCTAAATAAAAAAAAAAGAAATAGAAGAATGACTTTTAAAATAACTTTAAAATTGGCGTATCTTTTTTGTTACAAAATAATTATAATTATTAATAAGTTTCCTCCTTACATAGATCAAGAGTCTTAAATAAACTATGTAGTTAAGTCATTTGAAGTTTTTTTGTATATATATATTTTTAAATAGTTAAAGTGGATAACGAATAACGATATTAGTATAATCAGGCAAGTAAAGCCCACAGTTTTAATATTATTTTAAAAACAATTTAATTTTACTTTTATAGATATCCTTATCCTTACAATCATTTAAATGGCCTTTAATTTCAATATTTACATAATTTTTTTATATGTCTTGATGAATTTTTCTTCTAGATGATTCGAAGTAGTTAAGAAAGAGACAGACGTAGATATATGTATATGCGAACCTGCATGGAACAACATTGCAATCTTACTTCTAACTAAACTTACTAATATGATAAATCTGAAAGTATAGATGTTTGGATGTTTGTTACTCAATCACGCCAGAACGGCTGAACGGATCTGGATGAAATTTGGCACAGAGATAGATTATAGTCTGGAATAGCATATATGCTACTTTAATTACTACTTTTTATGCCGGAAAAATTGACGCTTCCCGTGGGATAGATTTATTATGTAATATTTTATATTATTATAATAATTGCGAAATTAATTTCTATTTTTAAACTATGGCAATATAGAGTTACAATGTTATTCCATGCAGGTGACGAAGTGACAGATTATGTCAAAAATAATTTCGTTTTTGGTACACTTTTCTTTTACACTGCCTTAGACGTTAGTTTATGTATCAATATATAAATTATTTTTATTAAAATGAAAAGAAAGTATTACTTACGTAATACATAAAATTACTGACTCAATACAATACAAAACTGAGTTTAAAGATCATACGTGTTTGTTATACTATTCATTTATCGTGTAAATACATTTTGCATTCATTTTCTAAGAAAATTAAATTAAACAACTAAAGAAAACACATAAAAACAAAATAAATGCTTTTCAATTTCCGAGAGCTCATTTCCTCACAATAATCAAATTTAAATATGTAAAAACTTTTTAATATTTGTACTTATAAAGAACCTATTTAGAATAAATTATGTTAATTCAGATTTCATTTCAGCGTCGATTGGTATGACCTTTAAGGTCGCACAAGGTTTCCTTCTCCTTCTAACGATCATGACGAATAAACATAAAGAGGACACAGTTAAGGCGAGTACGAAGAATACTGTAAGGCCCAACTGTGCAGCTGCAGTCGAGTAAGTGCCGTGGTATACTAACGTCTGAAGACTCTCTGGTAATTCTTCTACAGACTGTAAAAAAAAACGTTTAGTTTATATTATTTGTCGACATTTGCATGGAATTTATTTATTTATATATTTATTTATTTAAGGGAAACAAACAGTACAATATTACATAAATAATAATAGGATAACACATAAAAAAAAACAAAAAGCTAAAGCTAAAAAATTACAAAAAGAGACACTGATTAACATTTATAAAAAAATAAGGAAAAAAATATTAAATAAATAAAAAAATAAGATGGCAAATTTAAAGGAATCCGAATGTTTTATATATTTTTCTATGAAAATCCGAAATTGGCATCAGCAACTCTCCATTTTAATTAAAAACATAAAATCGGGGGAAAAATTAAAATAGGGAAACACTGAAAGTGCTGATTTTGTAGGATATTTATATGAACTCAAAACATTTACTCACTAAGCAATTTGAAATTTAGTAGGTAAGTAAATGAGTAGTTTATAGTTTACTAGCGATTCAACCTCGCTTCGCTCGGGTTTGTCCCTAGGTATTATAATGGATATAGTATGTTATCCATCGCAAATTTTTTTTTTATAGACCTTTGTAAGGTGTACAATACTGTAGTACATTATTTTAATCTATCTCGTAAGGTTCAGCCAGCGTTTGCAATGTAAGCGCAAAAAATGTGTTTATTTACGACATCACATTAAAAACCTATAAAATTATCAGTGTTTCTCTACTACATTATGCATTATACATATAAACCTTCCTCTTGAATTACTCTATCTATTAAAAAACCGCATCAAATTCTGTGGCGTAGTTTTAAAGATTTTAAGCATACATAGAGACAGACAGGCAGCGGGAAGCGACTTTCTTTTATACTATGTAGTGATACTTTTTATGTAGAATAAAGTCCCCGATTTTGCGAGAGAGCCAACTTAAGATGGTGTAAAGGCTATTTGCTGTTTGGATAAATAAGTACTGAGATGACGATATAAACATGAGTTATTGTGGTTGTAGCCGCGATAGACGCTAATCTATACTAATATTATAATTGTGAAAGTTTGTGAGTATGGATACTTGTTACTCTTTCACGCCAGAACGGCTGAACGGATCTGGATGAAATTTGGCTCAGAGATAGATTATAGTCTGGAATAACACATAGGTTATTTTTTATCCAGGAAAAAATATACGGTTCCCGAGGGATAGATCTGTTTTTGTTTTTCTATCCGAGCGAAACGAGGGTGAGCCGCTAGTTTAAAATAAAAGTAACGTACCATTTCTATCCAGGCTATCGGCAATATCAGACCATTTTTCAAATTCCTGAGCGCTCCAAATGCATCTGTTTTCTTGACTTGGATATTCAACTGCAGACTGAAATAGAAAGAAAATAGAAATTAATTAATAACGTATTTAACTGTTAAAAGGAGATTAACTAAAAAAATATGGACATATTTTGTAAAATAGAACAAGAATAAATGGAATACGTATACCACATACAGACACATATATGTGGCTATATAACCCTCACCGGTGAAAAAATTCAGTACTACCCACTAAAACCCAACAGAACCTCCCCGTCTTAACGGGGCGTCGCAGGATCGCTTACGCATTCAACCATGACGCCCCGACGGCTTGAGGTGTTTGACCACCATAACCATGGGATCGCTCATATTGTTATGTGATTTAAAAATTGGCATATATTTTATCTTACTTTATAAGAAAAAAAAAACTCATTCAGTCAAACTTATATGTAAATTAGCAGAACCTGCGGGTTCGCTCGCGCTTAAACTACAAAAAACACTCTAGATAGATAGGTTTCATACAAATCATCAGCTATTTTACTTCCCCTATGGGATGAATTTCAAAAAATGCTAAATCACGTATTTATTTAATTGTATTGAAGTTCATTAATACCAAGTTTCAGGTAATTCTGATCAAAAATATTTTTTTGGGTTGTATTATAACGTGTTTTCCCGTGGGTATAAGATAATTTTCCGCCGTAAAAAGTAGCCTATGTTACTCTCCAGCCCTCTATCTCTACACAAAAATTCGCGCCAGTCCGTCGCTCCGTTTCGACGTGAAAGAAGGACAAACAAACACACTTTCACATTTATAATATTTGTATGGATTTTACCTGGATTTTCCGCTCAATGCAATCCCTAAAGTAGGGTGAATGTCTACGTAGGAGTCATGAAGTCCTTCTTTTGGGTCGAGACCGAGGATTTGTTCTCTAAGCATCGGATCTCCACGGTGGAAGTGCGGGAATGACGCTAATGCTGGAGCACCTGAAATAGAAAATAATAATTGTTCATAAAAAAATAATTGAAAAATATTAAAAAAAAAAAACAGTCACGTGGACTGCCGACAGAAGCGAAAACTTAAAACTATAAACAAACAGTTGTTATTTTTGGATATTCAAATTAATCGTTTGATCTTAAATTGAAATCTGTAAATTAAAACTGTTTACACTTATCTGGTTGTGACATCTATCGGCACTCTGAGTGTTAGCGTTAACACGTCACGTGACCATGTCGATGACGACTTATATGAATTTACTCCCCATATAAACAAATCTGCCTATAGAAGTTTTCACTTCAAAAACAGATTTTTTCTAATCAGATCGTAATCGGAAAAGAATCTCTTAAAATACGATACTTTTGTTATATACATATATATATATATATATATATATATATATATATATATATATATATATATATATATTTATTTATTTGTATATTTATTTTGTCACAAAAACACACACAAGTTTAAAGAAGATTCTTATTTGCTCTGAATTAACTTCTACACTAGGGTGGAGCGAAAAAGAATTTTTTTTTCTTAGCGTGGAGGTAGAATTTGTGGCTTACAAAAAACAGGTGAGGTAGCGCATTGATTTTTAAAATAAATAATTAATTTATTGTTATTAATTAAAAAAAAAAACTTGAAATTGTTTCAATAAAAAGTTATGAACGAAAAAATAATCATTTTTCTTAGCGATATTGATAACTTTATTATTATTATTTTATACGTTTTGTCAAACTTATTTTGTTAGTGAGAGCTTAAATTTGATAAGAAGTAAGTTTCATATAAGATAATTTATTTAATACACGCACGAAGCAATGAAGCTACAAGCAAAGATTTATGAAAAAAAAAAACAAATGGCCATGTCCAGTACCTAGATTGACTTTACAATATATTTCGTGACGCGTAGCGTGTTAACGTGTTAATCTATCTATCACGTTGTCTAAAATACCTTGTTAGGCATACTAATCACCTCACGACAGATTCCTTATTTACGACTTATAACTGCCTCGGTGGTGTAGTGGCTAGCATGTACGGCTGCACACTCGGAGGTCCTGGGTTCGAGTCCCGGGTCGGGCCAAGTTTAGTTATTGAGTCTCTCTGTCAATCTGTCTGTGTAGTAAGTCTCAGTAACAGCCCGGAGTTGGGAAGTTGGTGGTGTTTCACCCCCGTGCCTCACCGGTCGTGTCGTGCAGTCGTCCCACCGGAGTATGAGAGTGATAGGAATAGAGAGTGCACGTTGTGTCTGCGCGTACACTTGTGCACTATAATATCTCCTGCGCAGTTGCCTAGTCTCAATGAGATTCGCCGCCGTAGCCGGAATCGGCTAGGAGAACATCATCATCATTTACGACATGCTATGAATTTCAAATTTTTAGAAATGCACAGATTGCAATGTTGCAAAATAATCTTACTAATCACACTATTCTTCATCTACACTAATATTATAAAGAGGAAAGATTTGATTTTTTGTTTGTTTGTTTATTTGTACTGAATAGGCTCCGAAACTACTGCACTGATTTAGATGAAATTTGGTAAGAAGATAGTTTGAGACCCTGGGAAAGACATAGGATAGTTTTTATCCCGGAAATCATCCCTTAAGGGCGTGAAAATGGGGATGAACGTTTGTTTGAGGAATTAACCTAGGAAAGAACACGTGAGAAGCGAGGGCGACGGCGGGCGACGGTAGACCACGGCTGGTACAACCCAGTTGAAACGTCGGGAACAAGGCATATAGCCACTAACGAATTGACGCGAAGTCCCGTAGTGTAATAACTAATAAACATATATTTCTATCTTTTTATCTAAAGAACTTGAAAATTCTAGTTTAGTTAGCGTAAAATAACATATTTTTTATAACTTGTGTTCGCCCAGTGGTCGAAATCTGACCATAATTATTGATTTTTTTTGATTGATTGATTTTTTCCTATTTATATACTCGTAAATAGTTGCTATGTTTGTGATACATAATATGTATATAGATTTTCGAGATAAAAACCTAACTTTGTTGTTTAACTTCACTCAAAAGCAGACAAAACCACAGCAAAAATACTACTTACCCATAGCACATTCGGTCACATTTATAACACCTCGAGGTGGGCATATACCGGAGTCTGTTTCGCAGTAACATTCGTTAGCTGGATTGTTCTTTGGGTCGTCGAAGACGTCATCAGGCATCCCATATCGCAATAAATGTACGCCATCTGCAATCTGGAACAATATAAGGACCTTAGTTTCGCTTTGCTTGACAACTTTTTCTGACTTATTTATAACATCTGATATATTTAAACGAGCAATTCTTGTATATATATAAATAAATATATAATCTGAATCTCGGAAACGGCTCCAACGATTTTGATAAGATTTAGAACACGGAGGTTTCGGGGGCGATATATCGATCTAGATTAGTCTTATGTCTGGGAAAACGCGTGTTTTCGAGTTTTTATACACTTTTCTTTTGCTATTCCACGCAAAATATGGTCGGTAATTTGCACGCTCGGGAATAAGCATCGTGGTCAAGTGGCCAAAGTGCAAGATCAACAATCACAGGTGTTCAGGTTCGAATCTCGGTCGCATACAAAGTTTTTACTTTTGTTTTTTTTTTTATATGTATTCAAGTTTTTAGGGTTTTTAAAGAAAAAGACGCAAGATTGACAATCATAAATATCCGGGTTCAAATGCCGGTCGGATACAAAGGTATAATTTATTATTGTTTTTTTTTATTTATTCAAGTTTTTAGTTTTTTTTTAAATAAAATTGTACTTTTTAACCAAAAACTCCGAGCGAAGCTCTGTGGCCCAGGTACTAAAACTTTATTACACTTACAGAAAAAAGTACATTAAAATAAAAAAAATACAATTAAGTGATGTGCAAAGGCGGCCTTATCACTAAAAGTGATCTCTTACAGGCAACCGATAGTAAAGGATATAAGAAAATAAGTGAGAAGAGCGGAATGACTTAATTCGCAAAATTATTCTTGCAAAACGTTTATAAAATATACCAAAATATTTCTAGTTAATGTCTTTTTCTGTACTAACTGTATGAAAATCCATGAACTTTTTCGACGAGAATTATTGCCAACAAATAGAAGCTCAATTTTAATTTATAACATGCAGTGAGACGGCTAGAATATAATACTTATTATACAGATGATAATTCACTATCGAATCGTCAAACAAAAAGGAGATCGCCTCTTATTGAAGGGAGGCTCGTGCCCAGTAAAGGGCTGCATAAAAAAAACTTGTACGCCCAAAATTAAATCAAATATTAGTTATTTTTTTTAATAAATATTAAATAGGTTCCAGGGTAGTGGTCCCATATAAATTTAAAGAAAAAAAAAACCTATCAAAATTAAGATCAATCCCATGGGATAAGCAGTAATAAAACTCACCTCTACATCTCTTATATATTTGAAAGGCAAACGTCGACATAAGTTCGGGAAAAAGATGTACAAAGACGAGTTTCTATCCAGCATTGATGGCGGGAAAATAGTTCCGTCCGACGCTTCTATACTGTGGACAAAATAAACAGATTAAAAATTAAGTATATTATGTTCTGCGTTATCTATTTTTTAGTTCGCATTTTACACAGTTGGGATTTCTGTTTTGTGTAATTTACAGCTTTTTTGTTTCGAATTATCATTTAATTATTTACATAGATCGAGTATACGCTTTTTTCATTTGTAAGTTATTACACCGGCATTGTATTTCGATTTCTGTATATGAGGAATATTTGTATGAACCATACAAAAATGATAAACTGGGATAGGCCCAGTCGAAAGTTAGACTTATTCAATTTCTATTAATGAATGATTTAGACAAAATTTCTACAATAGATATCGCTAATAGGTGTAGACAAAATATCAATAACTAGCGACTCAACCTCGCTTCGCTCAGTTTCGTTTTGACGCTTAGTATGGAATAGTTTTTTTTTCAATTTTTTTTTCCGGTGTTTTAATAGATACCTAATGGTGGAAAATGGTATATTCTGCGCAAAATAACGTTTAGATGTGTCATTTCTATTTTCGAAATTCATATATTAATGATATCGCTTGTAGAATGTCATCTTGTTAGAGAAAGGTAGATGATATACTGTAAATGATATATTATACTAAGTTTTACAAAAGACTAGCGACTTACCCTCGCTTCGCTCACTAATTCTTTTTCTAAAATAAAAATAGCCTAAGTTACTCCTTATAACATCAGCTATCTACCAGTGAAAGCCTCGTCAAAATCAGTCCGGCTGTTTCGAAGATTAGCCAGAACAAACAGACACAAACATTTTTTTTAAATTGTATTTTTTTATAATTACCGTATATAATATCAAATACGTTTAGTAAACAGCTGTTATTTTGACAAGTAGACACTTAATTTTTATTTATCTGTATAGATAAATGAAGAGAAAAGGACAGATATCGTTCTCTCTTTCTATACCACCAAGGACATTGTGGTAAACATACACACATGATACAAACATACAAACACGAGTTCCATAAAGTTTATTAATACACGTAAAACATTGTTTATGGATAAACTTACTATATATTTAAGCAACATGAGGCGCTACGACTTATCAAATATGATAAACTTTGAACTGAGATAGTCTATATTGCATCCATTCATATAAAACTTACATAACTACACAGAAACGATTAAAAACTGATTATAATTTACCATTTTAGTGAGTAAAAATTATTTTACATCGACTTCGTTATAAATAAAAAGCTAAATCTACTTCCACAATTTTAGTTTCCTTTTTTTTATAGTTGAGCTTTAATACTTTCTTAGATTTACGCGAATATTTGATGTCTATACATACACCTACATATAATAAAATTGTAACTAAGCCGAATCTGTACATTAAATATTTTTTGGAAAATCTTATCGAAATAGATATTATTATCGATACAGAGGCCGAATCTAGTGCCGTTTTTAGTGTCTGTTGTGAAACAGAAGTATTAAACCAATATAAATAAGGATTTTTTTTCTGTCTGTCTGTCTGTGACTGCATCACGGAAAAACCACTGGAGGGATTTTGATGAAATTTGGTATGATAATAGCTGGTTATCCGGGTCAATGTATAGGACACTTTTTACTGCGGGAAAATATCTCATCTCTGAGAAATCTATATTAAACGTTAAAATGGAAGTAGGGACGAACCCGAGCGGAGCGAGGGTGAATCGCTAGTTTTAAATAAAACTATCTTTTCGGATTTTTTCGCGGATTTGTTTTGATTTTTGGTTTCCGACTTTTCGAATTTAGTATCTCCCGTGACCGTGATAGCTGTAAAGCATTCGAAATGTCGAGAAGAAAAATCAAAATAAATCCGCGAAATAATCCGAAAAGGTAGTTTTATTTAAAATGTCAAATATTCGTAAATCTAACAAAGTATTATACAAAGAAAGTTAGTAATAGCATATTGTTTTCATATCTACCTATTACAGTCGGCGCTTCCCCAAAAAGGCAATTGTGCTTCACCGTTGAACTTCTCAAGAATATTCATCTTATTCTTATCATTTTCTCCCGTGTTGATCGTGAAACGATCCGATGTGGTGCCATTTTTCTGAAAAATATACGTTTTTATAGCAATAAAAATATAATTTTAGTTACTCAGTTTCAGTTTTTCCGCTGAGTTTCTTCCGCAAATTCCGAATAATTTATCAATAAGCTCTAAAATTAGATTCTTAGTGGCTTAAAAATTAATAATTTTTTAGTCAATTGAGTTGGCAAATAAGTGACGTAGCCGACGATTGTTATCGCCATATACAATGTATGGGGGAGTCACGTTTTGACAACTCATAGAAAGCGATGCCAAAAATAGCGTTATGTTGCTTTGCTACCTTAGACTACAATATTATATAGATGGAGTCCGCCAAAATAAATGTCAAAGTCAAAAATGGTAGCGTGATTTGCTGTTTATGCTACTATTCTCGGTTTTGACATACAGATCGTTTACTTTCTTTGAACAATAAAGGAAATTTTATTTATGTACTAGTATTGACCGCGACTCCGCCCGCGTTCAGATGACCAAATACCAAATTCTCTTACATTGCAGTTTTTGTATTTTTTCTCAGAATTGAGGTATTTTTCATTGGGCTATCACTATACCAAAATTCCTCATTTTATCAAAATACCTCCAGTGGTTTTTCTGTGATGCGGTAACAGACAGACAGACAAAAATTCTCTAATCTTTACCGATAATAATGTTTATTTCAATAAGATTTTCAAAAAAATATTTAATGTACAGATTCGGCTTAGTTACAATTTTATAATATGTATAGATAGGAGTGATGAATTACAGGAATTTCGAGTCATGTTTGAGAATCCTCTATACATTTTGCCTTTGAGGAACGTCTAGGCTATCTAACATCACACTACAAACTAACTACATTAAACTTAACAACTAAGTACATTAAAGACTAAATATTACATACTAATATTATAAAGAGGTAAAGTTTGTAAGTTTATGACGTTGTAGGGGGTAATCTCTGGATCTACTGAACCGATTAAGATGAAATTTTAGTAAGAAGATAGTTCGAGACGTTGGGAAGGGCATAGGACACTGTTTATCGCGGAAATCATCGGAAGCAAGCTAGGGACGAACCGAACGATGCGAGGGTGAGTCGCTTGTTATCTATAATGTTTTGGATTAAATACTTACAGTGACTAATAGTCCGAATTTATCGAAGTTCAACTGCCCTTGTAAGCTCAGGATTGGTTTCGCTATACTGATGATGGTGTCGTCATATCCCCACAGAAATCTGAAAAATAATATTGTATTAGATTTCGTCTGCGTTGAATAGCTATAGATTCATATAAAGGCAGTAGTAGCCCAGTGGTAACGCGTTCGCTTGGTAAACCGAGTGAAGTGGGTTCGAATCCCGGGTCTCGCACCTCTGATATTTTATGTGTGAATTATTTCCAACATGATTACCACTTGTCTTTCGGTGAAGGAAAACATCGTCAGGAAACCTGAACCCCCTTCGAATTGAAGGGAGCCTCGTTCCCAGTGGGACGTGAAAAAGGGCTGAATACATACATAATATATAAAATGGTATGTAAATATACATATATATCGATGCCACCAGTCGAGAGTGGCGGAGTAAAAGTTTTTAGCGAATACGTTATTTGCAAAAAAACCCTAAAGTAAAAGAGAGGTCAGAAGTTTGTTTGAAAATCTGTTATTAAAACTACGTGGACAGAGTCGTGAGTAAATACGACTTAAGAAAGCCAATAAAAAATATATATTTTACTAGAAAAACAAAAAGTCTATACCACAGGAATTGTACATTTTCCAGGATAAAAAGTAGCCTATGTGTTATTCCAGACTATAATCTATATCTGTGCCAAATTTCAACCAAATCCGATCAGCCATTCTGGCGTGAAAGAGTAACAAACATCCATACTCACAAACTTTCACATTTATAATAGTAGTAAGATTCACGCAGTAGAATCTTGTTAGAGCTTTATATAGGCCAAAAGTACTCATATACCGCTATCTGTGATACAAAGTGCAGTTTTGCCTTCAATAAATTCATATTACGCAATTCAAATTTATGTTTCATTGTTTAATTATCTGCGTATGTTATTTGCTTATAAACAAACTATCATACCGACTCACTTATAGATTTTATCATAACACGTTTCTTTACGACACGTGGTTTGCAAATAATTATTTTTAAATGAAAGAAATAAACCGACTACAAAATCACGTAAAAGTTGAAAAAATATTACACTTTTAGGGATGGAGTTTTTCTTTTAAAGTTTATGTCTCTCTCTCTGTCTGTCTCTCTCTCTCTCTCTCTCTCTCTCTGATAATAAAATATTAAGTCAAATTTCTGTAATTTTACACCAATGATTGATAAATTTGTCCGTGCTTGTATTGCCTATTTATAGACAGCACTAATTGCATTATCTTAGTTATGTGCCTCTGTTTGTCCAGTGGTAGCGCGCTCGCATATGGAACCGAGTGAAGCGGGTTCTAATCCCGGGTCTCGCACCTCTGATATTTTCATGTGCGAATCATTTCCAATTTGATTACCATTAATTTTAGGATGAAAGCAAACATCGTGAGCAAACCTGCATGTTTGAGAGAAGCTGGCAAGTTTTAGAATATAATTTTTACATATGAAGTCTGCCCGCACTTGACCAGCGTGGTGGACTATGGCTCGCATCCCCTTTATATACAGCGCCATCTTATTCTATGCTAAGCTACGAGGCTTGTTTTATGGATACCAGTTGATACACTACACATATATAATTTTAAATACACACATATTATAAATATAAACAACACCCATGACTAGAGTACAAGCATTCGTGCTTATCACACAAATGAACGCCCCCAGCGGAACTCGAACCCATGACCGCTGGCACAGCAAGTAGGATCACTACAAACTTAGCCAAACGTGTCGTCAAACTTACTAATATATAATAATAATACTTTAATTTACGCGTACCTTTGAACTGGAAGTTTCAAAAAAGCATCATTGTGATCGGCGATCGTGTTAAGTGATGATATCAGTCCGAGTTGAACGAAGAAAGGCATGTTAGATGCTTTAGCGGCGACTCCCTAGAAAAAAAAATAGTTTTAACCTGCGACTTCTCTTACATGACAGATACGTAAAAAGCCCACTTGTTAATCCATATATACTAATATTATAAATGTGAATGTGTGTTTGTTTGTTTGTCCTTCTTTCACGTCGAAACGGAGAGACGGATTGGCGTGATTTTTTGTGTGGAGATAGTTGGAGGGCTGGAGAGTAGCATAGACTACTTTTTACCGCGGGAGATTATCTAATTCCCACGGGAAAACACGTTATAATACAACCCAAAAATTTATTTATGATCAGAATTACTTGAAACTTGGTTTTAATTCTCTTCAATAAAATGACACAATTACGTGTTTTAGCATTTTTCGAAATTCATCCTATAATGGAGTAAAATAGGGGATGCAGGTTTGTATGAAACTACCTTTGAGAGACTTTTTTGTAGTTTTAACGCGAGCAAAGCCGCGGGTTCTGCTAGTACTATACATATATATATATATATATATATATATATATATATATATATATACATATATATATTATACCTCTTAGAATTGGAATTTTTTAGCTCCGCTTTTAACAGGAGCTTTGTTGGGACATTTTCTAAGATATTTTGGGGTGAGATCGAAGACAAAAAAATATCGTCATTTTTTGGCACACCCTAATATATATATATATATATATATATATATATATATATACATATACTATTTATGTAAATTATTTTAATATCGTTACTCGAATCAACGGGTTGAACAGTTACTGCGTGAAGAAGACGCGGCACATTATTACAATATTAATAATGCCCTTCCGACCGGTTTCTTATTGTTTATACTTCGTAAGATATATTATGTTTGTTGAGTTTATTTGATTGCTTATATAATGAAAATACACGATGGTATTTTTTAATAATTAATTGTATATGTATGTATGTATTCAGCCCTTTTTAACGTCCCTCTGCTGGGGGTGGGCCTCCCTTCAGTACGAGGGGAATCAGGCCATAGTCCACCACGCTGGCCAAGTGCGGGCGGACTGAGCATGTCTTTCGAAAACTTGTTAGGTTCTCTCAGACATGCAGGTTTCCTCACGATGTTTTCCTTCACCATAAGGCAAGTGGTAATCATGTTAGAAATGATTCGCACATGAAAATAACAGAGGTGCGAGACCCGGGATTTGAACCCGCTTCACTCGGTTTCCCAAGCGAGCGCGTTACCACTGGGCTACCACTGCCGAATTAATTGTATAAATACTAGTTTAAATGGAGTAAATTCTAGGATATTTCTTAATTTCTTCGTAATATTTTGAAAGCAGACTTCGTAAACATATAACTAAAAATCTAAATAATCTTTTCATATATATTACATGTTAATTGTGGTTGAGAGTCCCTTTATTCCTTACAGTCACTGTTGTCATGCAAATCTCACATGATTTTTATTTTATTTACTCTGCCTTAATTTTTTATCTGTAGGTTATGAGGTCGCTAAGGACCATTCGTTATCTGTTTATAAATACAGATAATAAATGGTGCTGTTGATACAAATTGTAATTGATGTAGAGGATCAAGGTCAAATATAGGAGTTTATTTTAATTTCATAAATACTCTTACGAGTACATTTAAAAAATGTAATAACAAGGTAATTCACATGTTAAGTCGGTTTTTTTCACTACTAGAGTAGTTGAATTTTATGTGAAAAATACCTTATTATTTCATTTAACCCGGTCTTATCATATACTAGCGACTCACTTTTGCTCCGTACGGGTTCGTACCTAGATACGTTTTGACGGTTAGTACAGATTTCTCAAGATGAGATATTTTCCTGCAGTAAAAAGTATCCTATATGTTGACCCAGATAAACAGCTATCATCATACCAAATTTCATCAAAATCTATTATATATAATTTCGTAAATAATACAGATAAACCGACGGACAAAAATTCTAAGAACTATATTCATTCGGCTTCTATATCGATAATACTGACTATTTCAATAAGATTTTCCAATAATATTTAATTTACAGATTCAACCCAATTACAATTTTATTATAATAGAACATAGATTAATTATGTAGCAGAGGTATAAATGACTTTATTTGATGTCACAAGAATTTTACTATGTCACTAGTATACTATTGCAAAGAGACACGTGATCTAAACTTAGGGACGTATTCTATGTACAATATAACACATGCCAATCACCTCCAGGTAAATTTCTAAGAAATTAATTAAATTTCTAAGAAATCTATTGTTAACTGTAACGCCGGCGTGTCCGCGGTCGTTGAGGGCATATACAATACATATGGGTTTCTTTTTCAGGACATTGACACACAACACCATCTAGTTCCATGGTAAGCTACGAGGTTTGTGTTATGGATACTAGATAGTTGATACATTATACATATATATAACTTTAAATACATACATATTATAAATATAAACACCCATGACTGGAGTGCAAACATTCGTGCTCATCACACAAATGAATACCCTCAGCGGGACTCGAACCCGCGACCGCTGGCGCAGCAAGTAGGATCACTACAAACTGAGCCAAACGTGTCGTCAGAGCTGATGAGCCGAGTGAGTTACTATTTAAAATATATTGTTAAAGAAGATCTTACCAGTAGAGGCAAATTAGGGACGTATACTTGATCAAACTGTGGCCCCACACTGAGTTCAGGTAAAAACTTAAAGTTATTTCTCTCTTGATAACTCAACTTGTCGCCTTCAAACTTTATATTCACTCGTTCTAAATATTGCCTGTTGACAAATATATTATTTTAGTTAGATATTCTTTATAATTGACCAAACAGACGTTGTAATGTTCACATATTGAATTTCGTCAGAACTGTTTTTATCTATACTAATATTATAAAGAGGTAAAGTTTGTGAGTTTGTGACGTTGTTGGGGGTAATCTCTGGATCTATTGAAACTATTTAGATGAAATTTGGTAAGAAGATAGTTTGAGACTCTGGGGAGGACATAGGATACTTTTTATCCCGGAAATCATCCCTTAAGGGAGTGAAAATTGGGATGAAAGTTTGTATGGGGAATCACGCTAGTTATTATATAGTTTATTTATACACTCAATTGTACACCACAGTAATAAATGAAATACAGTAAATAAAGCATCTACAAACAAATGTGTGCAAAAAAGTGGTCTTATCGCTAATTAGCGATTTCTTCCAGACAACCTTCGGGTGAGGAAATATGGAAGACTATACAGAGTAAGTGGATTAAATATAATATACAATACATATCGCAATATAACCTAATACTTAAAAATTCTACACATGCATACTTATTATAAATGCGAAAGTGTGTTTATTTGTTTGTTTGTTTGTTTTTCTTTCACGTCGAGACGGATTGGCGTTATTTTTGTGTGGAGATAGTTGGAGGGCTGGAGAGTGATATAGGCTACCGCGGGAGATCTAATTCTATCGGGAAAACACATTATAATACAATCCAAAAAATATTTAGGATCAGAATTACTTGAAACTTGGTATTATTGCTCTTCAATAAAATAAAACTAAAAAATTCTACAAAAAGGCCATACTCAAGCGTCATGTTCACGTGACATAACGCTTGAGTAGTAACTACCTAGTTGTCGTTTTTTCGTTTATGTTTTCTATTGGCTATTGTAGAATACCATCTTATCTAAAGCTGTGAATTGTTATTATTTTGTTTCTTTATCTAAAATAAAAGTAGCTTATGTTATTACCTATAACATCAGCTATCTTCCAGTGAAAGTCCCGTCAAAATCAGTCCAGCCATTTCTGAGATTATCCGAAACAAACAGATAGACAGACAAAAAAAAATGTGTTTTTCTTATAAGTACCGTATATAATTTCATAATATGCATTTAGTAAAACGCTGTTATTTTGACATTACAAACAGACACTTCAATTTTATTTATCTCTATAGATTTACGAAGTATATAATTCAATAATCCGCGTTGTTATGCCGTTTGTTTGTGATTTTGTACGTCACTAATAATCTGACGTCTGTCTTTTGTAGACTTTACTTCAGACTAAGATCAATTAGACAGAAATCTTTGTTTTCAAAGAGACTTGTACCAAGGGCTTGTGCACACGATGACGTTTTAACGCGTTATCATCGAGCGGTTTTCATGTGTTTGTATCGATACGATCGTAAGTAATGTGGATTATTTAAATTTATAAGCGTAGAACTAGCATTACCCGCGGATTCGCCCGCATTCAGATGACCAAAAACCAATTTAGGGCTTAAGTTTTACATATTAGTATACTCTTACATAGCAATTTTTGTATTTTTTCTCTTAAATGAGATATTCTCCCGCGGTAAAAAGTATCCTATATGTTGACCCGGATAACCAGCTAACACCATACCAAATTTCATCAAAATCCCTCCAGTGGTTTTTCCGTGATGCGGTAACAGACAGACAGACAAAAATTATTAAAACTAGATTCGGCCTATGTATCGATAATATATTACAATAAGAATATTTCAAATAATATTACAAAAAGAAATAATCTATTACAATAAGATTTTCCAAAAAATATTTAATGTACAGATTCGGCTTAGTTACAATTTTATTATATATGTATAGATATGCGCAGACGATGTATTACGTTTAAGTTACGCACGTCCTTGGAGCGCTGATGAAACGTAGTTGTACATAGGCCCTAAGATATATGCGATAAATATTGTCGTCCATACTATGTAGCAAGAGATTAGCATTGGTTTGTATGTCGGAGGTCACGGGTTCAACTCCAATTTCTCGATATCGGCGAAATGATAAGAAAAAAAGGAGTTCTTGCTATTATATTGAGGGAGCTTAAACAAGGTGTAATTCTATAATCGTTAACGAATAGAAATTGTATTGAGATGACAAAATAATTTACTATGCCAGAGAATCATAATATGCACAAATAAGTATTTTTTTAGATTTTTATTACTTAACGATTGTATAATAAGTTAGTCAAGATGTCAAATAGGGTTTGAGTCCCGGGACGTCTCGTGTCTCGAAGTCCCAGAAATTTTTGTAAATGTATTTACAAAAAAACCTCGACCCGAAAGTCTCGGGACTCGAGACACTTTTTACTACCAATTTGAGTAAAACTGCATTTATTCCCTTTTGCGGAAGAAATGTATTGCAGATTTTTTGAAAATATATCTCGTAAACGCCAGAATTGGGAAGTAATGGACGTTGAACCTATACCAGTGCGACTACTGTAGGTACATAACGAACCCGACGAGTCGTTACAATGTCAAATGAAACAGACAATAAAAACCCCCTAAAATGTAGGTACTTGAAATTCTAACAAAAAAATCAAGGGCAAGATTAAAAAAACGAGTTGCTGTTGTTTCAATCATTTTTAAATTTGCTTTATAATTACATTTACATAAGATTTCACTACCAAAAAATGAATTTTTGATTATAAGAATAAATATTGTACATACAAATTGTTTATACTATAAATAACGTTGTTAGAATTTTAAACATAATATGTTCAATAAATGTTATTTTTTACTAAAATAGCTTTATTTATTGGTAGATCTCGCCAAAAATTAATCCAATTTTGTTCTGGTAAGTCTTGAAGTCCCCGGACGTCCCGACCTTGGTCGTGGGTGGTTTCTTGTCCCGGGACTTTGAGAATATCGAGACTTCGCAAACCCTAATGTCAAAGCTCCCAGAAAACTTTCTGTATAAGGAATTCAATGTAATAATTATTCAATAATCGTCGAACATCTCTAGTTGCCTATGTGCTACTCCACGCCATAAATATCTTAAATATCTTGGGACATTAACACACCGCACCATCTAGATCCATGGTAAGCTACGAGGCTTGTGTTATGGATACCAGATAGTTGATACACTACACATATATATATTAAATACATACATATTATAAATATAAACACCCATGACTGAAGTACAAACATTCGTGCTCAACACACACCAGCGGGACTCGAACGCGACCGTTGGCACAGCAAGTAGGGTCACTACAAACTGGGCCAAATGTGTCGTCAAAGTCATAGTCTATCGGTGTACTAAATTTCATCCAAAAACCGTCCAGCGGTTCAGCGTAAGGAGTAACAAATATACATACAAAATTTCTAATTTATAATAACAGTTTGAATCAGAATCGGGTCACATAGTTATAGCAGCAGATAAAACGAAATACGATAAGAAACTTCATTTAACTCAGGAACTTATTTTATCGCTGGGATTGAAACGGACGTCCTTTTTAGAATCAATGAAAAAAAACCCTCGAAATTCGAAATGAATATTTTTACAAGTTTTTATTTAATAACTTTAGTCCTTATGTTTGTATTTTTGTTTAAATCTTATATATTATCTGTGTTGATCCAGTGGGTAATCTATACTAATATTATGAAGAGGAAAGATTTTTTATTTGTTTGTTTGTACAGAATAAGCTCCGAAAGTACTTAGCCGATTTAGATGAAATTTGGTAAGAAGATAGTTTGTGACCCTGGAAAGGATATAGAGTAGTTTTTATCTCGAAAATCATCCCTTAAGATGTTGAAAATGGGGATGAAAGTTTGTATGTAGTTTATATACAAATACGCTACGACAAAACAGCTGAGTACTTTTTTCTCCTGTGTTTGTAAACCGATTTTCTTTTTTTTCTTCAGTAAATATTGACAAGCTTTATTGTTATTAATAAAAAAAGGTCTCGGTGCCAGCCGACAATATTTTTAAGATATGAATATTTAATAGGTAAATATGTATTTTACGTATCGAAATATGTATATTAATTAGATTTGCTTTGCATCGGCTGGCACCGACTTCGAAAATATCTGATTAGGTATCTATTCTAAATGAAAACCCCCGTTTAGTTATTTTTTACATTTAAGTGCCTGGAAGTCGGTTTTTATTTTTTTTTTAAATTTTATTTACTTTTATTATGCACAGGGTTTAAGCCACGGTTTCTCTCGATAAGTTCTTCACATATAAATGCTCAGCTCCTAAAGGTTTTAGCGTAATTTATGATAATATGTTATTATTTCATAAATTACGCTAGTTATTAATAATAATCCTTCTTAATAAATAGATTATTAAATGCAAAAAAAACTGTTTGGACTGGTAATCCCTGAGATTATACTTATTCCATAAAAAAAACAAAATTATGTTTTCAGCTTCATATTACGACCAGGGCTCGGAACCGGTTTAAAAAAAACGGTTTATTTCGGTAATGCAATGGTTAAGTCATCGCTCGTTCATTTACCGGTTAATGAAAACGAACGGTTTAGTAAGTCGAGATAATAATAGTTAACGGTTGTTCTTAGAGAAAGGTTGTATTTAGGTTTTGATACCGAAATAAACCGATTAATTCATTCATAAGTAAGAAACGTAGAACTATCCTTCTACTAAGCAATTAACAAAATAAAAGCACAAAAAGTCATTTAAACCGGTTAATTTTGATCATTGAATCTAAATTTGTCAAAAACCATTTTCCCGGATTTAACCGGTTAAAGAACGTAAACGAAACCTTAAACAAAAAAGCCCTTCCGGTTTGGGGTAAATGACCAAAACCAGTTTAAAAATTGAACTGGTTTCTGAGCACTGATTACGAGTATAGATTATATTTACATTTTAATAAGTAATCGTTTTGACGATACTATTTTTTTAGATCACGTTTATGAACCCATTTGGGGATGACGGAAAACATGTCGAAGAAATGATAAAAGAATTGGTAACACCAATAACAAAACCTAAATATAGAAATACTAAGAATTATAAAAAAAATCGATA